GGGAAGAAGGGGAGAGCGTTACAAAGCCACACAATAGCAGCCACCCCCACGGGAAGCCGCGTTATCGAATGATTTTACCAGAAGGGACAATATTCAAAAGACAAGTAGAAAAGTTATTGTAAAGAGAGTCCTAATTTAACCAGCAGCACGCTGAGAGGCCCAGCAGTGTCAGGAAACGTGGGCTTCTAGAGCAGTTATAATGATTAGTGCTAGCCCTTAGCTCTGAGTCTCCTAATCCTAAAGCTGTTTTTCCTGCACTGGTCTCCTTTAGTAAACAGGCTACAAAGAATTATGCTGGAATGTTTTGCCTGCCTAGCGCTGTCCCGTCCCAACCGCCGCATGCATAGACAGCGAAGAGCGTGGGAGGAGGGAAGGTGCAAATAACCCGCCCTTTTTCCTCTGCAGTTCTCAATCAGGTCGTACGCCAGGCAATATACGGAGACGTTCACCCACTCTCGCTACACAGCTCTGTCTGTAATTCTAGCCGATATGTCTGGTCGCGGTAAGGGTGGCAAGGGTCTCGGAAAAGGAGGCGCTAAGCGCCATAGGAAGGTGTTGAGGGACAACATCCAGGGCATTACAAAACCCGCTATTCGCCGTTTAGCTCGTCGCGGGGGCGTGAAGCGCATTTCGGGTCTCATTTACGAGGAGACTCGGGGGGTGCTGAAGGTCTTTTTGGAGAATGTGATCAGAGATGCCGTTACTTACACCGAGCATGCGAAGCGGAAAACTGTGACTGCCATGGACGTTGTTTATGCGTTGAAGCGCCAGGGTCGTACTCTGTACGGATTTGGAGGCTAACCTGTGCTAGTAATTGTCTCAGAAAACATCTATAACCCAAAGGCTCTTTTCAGAGCCACCCACACTTTCATGAAAAGAGCTGTTGTGCTTGCGGTTTCCTTCTCCGGTAGAGCGATATCAGTACTTCTGTTTATATTTAATCGAGCTAATTAGCTCTAGTGTATGAAGTGAAATTTTATAGAACGACTGCTTAAATTATCGGGTTTTCTGTCATGTTAGTTCCTTACTTTCCAACTGGGCATACACAAACACCAAGACTCACAAGGGATTTACAATCTGGCCAGTAACGCGAGAAGCGATGTATGTTATTTTACGGGAGCTCTAAAGATGAGGGAACCACGACCTGAAAAATATTCGTGCATTAAGCTTTTTTTAAAAAACCCACGAAAATCCTAGACCAACAGCGAGCTGTTTTACCTTCCTCAAGGATAGCATCTTTGCAAGCCTCTTAAAACATTAAAACAGATACAGCTCTTTTCCGTGTGAACGTGGTGGCTCTTAAAAGAGCCTTTGGGTTTAAGTGGTTGCAAAAGGGGGGCGTTTAAGCTCTTTCCCCACGGATGCGCCGAGCCAACTGGATGTCTTTAGGCATGATGGTGACTCTCTTGGCATGAATAGCACACAGGTTGGTATCCTCGAAGAGCCCAACCAGATATGCTTCGCTGGCCTCCTGTAAAGCCATAACGGCCGAGCTCTGGAAGCGCAAGTCGGTCTTGAAGTCCTGGGCGATTTCACGGACCAGGCGCTGGAAGGGCAACTTGCGGATGAGCAGCTCAGTAGATTTCTGGTAGCGGCGGATCTCTCGCAGGGCCACAGTGCCGGGGCGATAACGATGGGGCTTTTTCACTCCCCCAGTGGCAGGCGCGCTCTTCCGGGCAGCCTTAGTAGCCAATTGTTTGCGAGGGGCTTTGCCACCAGTAGATTTACGGGCAGTCTGCTTGGTCCTGGCCATTCTGCAAGGTTATTTCTAAGCCTGGAAACAAGAAACAAATGAATGAGTCTGAGTGCGCTGACCGCGCTTTATAGACAAACTCTGTATCATGATTGGATGAGGAGGAGACGACAACTCTCATTGGACTATTCAAAATACGTTTTACTCCTCTCTCCTTCCAAATGTTCATTGAGGAGGCGGTCAGAAAAAAATGGCCACGAGTTTATGAGATCCATTAATTATATGATCAGTCACTTAAGAAATACCTCCCTACAGCCACCCCATCCACAACACTTCCGGGAGTACTACTAGCGTGCTGTAATCGGAGCTTTCTGTAAATAACGCGGGCTTTTCAAATGTTTTTTGAATAGTCCAATGAGAGTTGTCGTCTCCTCCTCATCCAATCATAATACAGAGTTTGTCTATAAAGCGCAGTCAGCGCGCTCAGACTCATTCATTTGTTTCTTGTTTTCTGACTTAGGAGAAGTGACTATACAGAATGGCCAGGACCAAGCAGACTGCCCGTAAATCTACCGGTGGCAAAGCCCCTCGCAAACAATTGGCTACTAAGGCTGCCCGGAAAAGTGCGCCGGCCACTGGGGGAGTGAAAAAGCCCCATCGTTATCGCCCCGGCACTGTGGCTCTGCGAGAGATCCGCCGCTACCAGAAATCTACTGAGCTGCTCATCCGCAAGCTGCCCTTCCAGCGCCTGGTCCGTGAAATTGCCCAGGATTTCAAGACCGACTTGCGCTTCCAGAGCTCGGCGGTTATGGCCCTGCAGGAGGCTAGCGAAGCATATCTGGTTGGTCTCTTTGAGGATACCAACCTGTGCGCTATTCATGCCAAGAGAGTCACTATTATGCCGAAAGACATCCAGTTGGCTCGGCGCATCCGTGGGGAAAGAGCTTAAAGCCCCTCTTACAACCCCCTAAAAACCCAAAGGCTCTTTTAAGAGCCACCACGTTTACACGGAAAAGAGCTGTATCTCAGTATGTACCTTTCCAAGCTAGTTAAAACAGTTATCGTTGAAGGTAAAACAGCCTGCTGTTGGTCTAGGATATTCGGGGGTAAGCTTAATGCACGAATAGTCTTTTATATTCTCCTTTATTATCAGGAAACTCCCTTTCCCTGCAGTTCGTGGGTGGGGTTAGTTCCTCATCATTAGAGCTCCCACAAGCTAACATGGCTTCCTGCGTTACTAGCCAGATTGAAAATCCCTTACTTTCACTGAGGTTTGGCGCTGGTGTGGTGTATAGCGGGTGACCAGACAGCAAGTGTGAAAAATCGGGACAGGAGATTTATTTGCGGAAGTAATAGTCCCAATTTCTTTATATATAATATATAAATATAATGCTCCTATCTCTATAAAAATCAGGACATCTGGTCTAGGTGTATGTGATTTAATTACTTCCGCAGGTAGAAAGTAAAAGGACTAGCTTACATTTGATTTACAGAGAAAAGTAGTGCAGTTCTATAAAACTTCACTCCACCTAAAACAGACTACTTATTGGTTTGATTAAATATATAAACAGCACGAATATCGCTCTACCAGGTTTCTCTAGCGAAGAAATAACACGCAAGCACAACAGCTCTTTTCATGAAAGTGTGGGTGGCTCTGAAAAGAGCCTTTGGGTTATAGATGTTTTCTGAGACAATCTAGCACAGGTTAGCCTCCAAATCCGTACAGAGTACGACCCTGGCGCTTCAACGCATAAACAACGTCCATAGCAGTCACAGTTTTCCGCTTCGCATGCTCGGTGTAAGTAACGGCATCTCTGATCACATTCTCCAAAAAGACCTTCAGCACCCCCCGAGTCTCCTCGTAAATGAGACCCGAAATGCGCTTCACGCCCCCGCGACGAGCTAAACGGCGAATAGCGGGTTTTGTAATACCCTGGATGTTGTCCCTCAACACCTTCCTATGGCGCTTAGCGCCTCCTTTTCCGAGACCCTTGCCGCCCTTACCGCGACCAGACATATCGGCTAAAATTACAGACAGAGCTGTGTAGCGAGAGTGGGTGAACGTCTCCGTATATTGCCTGGCGTACGACCTGATTGAGAACTGCAGAGGAAAAAGGGCGGGTTATTTGCACCTTCCCTCCTCCCACGCTCTTCGCTGTCTATGCATGCGGCGGTTGGGACGGGACAGCGCTAGGCAGGCAAAACATTCCAGCATAATTCTTTGTAGCCTGTTTACAGGAAAAACAGCTTTAGGATTAGGAGACTCAGAGCTAAGGGCTAGCACTAATCATTATAACTGCTCTAGAAGCCCACGTTTCCTGACACTGCTAGGCCTCTCAGCGTGCTGCTGGTTAAATTAGGACTCTCTTTACAATATCTTTTCTACTTGTCTTTTGAATATTGTCCCTTCTGGTAAAATCATTCGATAACGCGGCTTCCCGTGGGGGTGGCTGCTATTGTGTGGCTTTGTAACGCTCTCCCCTTCTTCCC